TCGACTTTTTTCGGTTTTCGATAGTTTTTCGCATGAATCTTCGACAGGGGTTTCGGCTCGGGTTTTTCTTAAGCAATTTCTTCACGTTTTATTCTTCATTTTCCGTGTACATTATTTAGATACTATGTTTGTTATGAACTAAGATAATTTTATTCTAGAGTAATGTAACCTTGTATATATTGATATCGATTTCCATATCTGCTATCTATTTGTCGTGTTTTGATTTTGTATATGCTTTCTTGTATGAAATGCTTCTGATAGATTGATGTTAAAAAAGGGTGATTGAATTGAGAACATGAGTAAAATGATGAGCCATTGTTATCAGAACATGAAAGATTTTTAAATTTCTCAAAAAACATAAAAGAAATACAAATATACCCCTTTTCAAATTCCACAAATAGGTAACCGGTCAACTTTGTAGCTGAAAGGTGAATGAGGGTGCAGAGTGCAAAATAAATTACAATTGAAGGGTGCATTATACCATTTTTTCAATTTAAGGGAGCAAAATGCCAATGACATGTAATTCAAGGGTGCAAAGTGACAATTACCCAAATTATAAACGTTTAACCTAATATAACATAAATTCAATTCTGTAAAGTTACATCTCCAAATATATTAATAAAAGTCAAAGTCAAACCTTTAAATAGAATAGTTGGAAACCTTTATTTCTTTTGGGTCATTACAAATAAGTCCATCAATGGGTACTTATTCATAAAGAGATCCAGAGAAAAAACTAATTTACAAATAAGTCCAGACATGGTCCAGATTTTTGTAAAAGATTAAAATAGCCCCTCATACTTTAATATGCTCCAATTTCACCCTTAATTTAATTTAACCTTAATTTGACCCCAAATTTCACAAATTATTCAATTTTGACCCAAAATGTTTTTTTTCAAAAAAAAAACATTTCAAAACTTTTTTGTTGCCGCCGGATTGCGGCGTTGACTTTTCAAATTTTTTTTCTTCTTCCGGATTTTTTCGCCGGTTTCCGGCGTTGACTTTTTCGATTTTTTTTTCTTTATTTTTTTTCCTTCTGTAACTTTTTTTCGTTTAAACAGTAATATTGCTGTGATTGACAGTAATATTAATTTTTTTACTGTTAAACACAGTAAAATTAACTAAACTACAGTTTAACACAATAATATTGATCTATTAATCTCTAGCACAATAATATTAACACAACAAAACTCATTATTATTGTGTAATAGAATAATAATACTATGTTGACCGTTCAACAAATGTAAACATAATAAAAAGACAAAAATAATTAATATTACTGTGAGTGACAGTAATATTACTATAACAACAGTAATATTACCGTCAACCACAGTAATATTACAATAATAGACAGTAATATTATTACGTTACTCCGTGAATAACTCAAACAAACAAAAAAAATCCAAACAAAATAATATTATTGATGTGGTTGACAGCAATATTACTATAACAACAGTAATATTACCGTCAACCACTGTAATATTATTGTGTTTACAGTAATATTACAATAATAGACAGTCATATTATTACGTTACTCCGTGAATAACTCAAATAAAACAAAAAACACAAAAAAATAATAATATTAATGTTGTTGACAAGTAATATTATTGTGTTTACAGTTATTTTACTGTCAGCGACAGTAATATAATTACGTTGACTTGTCAACAAATCAAACAAAATAAAAAAAATAACAAAAAATAAAAAATAATAATATTACGTTAATTTACTGTCAACGACAAAACAATTACATAAATGTATTATCAACGGCAGTACAATTACGTTAATTACCTGTCGTTGGCAGTTTAATTACGTTAATTTACTATTAGTGACAACACAATTACGGTCAACTTTTAGCGGCGAACGTAAAAAAAATAAAAAAAAAAACAAAACAAAACAAAAAAAAAAAAAAGAAAAAAGAAAAAAAGAAAAAAGAAAAAAGAAAAAAGAGAAAAAAAACTAAAAAACACTAAAAAAGTCAACGCCGGAATCCGTCGGCCTAAAAAATTTTGAAAAAATAAGTCAAAATTGGATTTATTGTGGTCAAAATTGGATTTTTGTGGACAAAGTTGATTAAATTGGGGTTACGATTAAGACAATTGGTATAAAGGGTTAGATGTAATATTGTCATATACATGAACGTTTCATTTCTTTATAATACATATTTAAGGATGGGCTTATTGATGAAAGAGATATAGCCCCCCATAAACCTAGAATAATAAAAATATTTAGTTGTAAACTTATGCATAAAAACCCCTATTTCTTTGGATTGGTCCGCGAGTTGTAGGCGTTGTAGCAGAGAAGAATTTGTTTTTGCATAAACGGACAGGAATATGCAGAATCCAAATTAAGGATTCTAAGAAAAGTTATACTGGGCTTTGGTGGGTGGGCTAAATAAATATATATTAACTATAATATATGTACACATTATTAGGAGTTCACGATGGGCTGAGTCCATCATTGCTTTAGGGTAGCTCCGTCACTAATCGGAGTAAAGTAGGGGTGGACAGAAAAATAGAAAAATCGATGCCAAACCGAAAAACCAAGCGTTTTCAAACCATACGGAATGGCAAACAGTATGTACGTTTTCTTTTTTCCTTTTTGAAATACCCAATTATTCGGTTCGGTATAGTGGTAAGGATAACTAACCGAACCGAAAAACCGAAACTGTAAAATGACTTCATTTTATGTAATATATGTATTATTTTAACGTAATTTTTACTTTCTATCTTTCAATTACTTGTCTCATTCTAAGCATTTGTTCATTAATTGAGAATTTGTATTTTATTTATTTCGTAACTATAATTTTATTTGAGTTCATGGTTTTAATAATGTATTTGATGAAAGTAGGGGGAGAAAATGAAGCATAATACATCATCTAAATTACGTTAAGTCCTATGGAATTAAAGATTTTAATTAAAGATTTTATATTTTCATTGCGTTACTTAGTTGTGAAAGTAATTGTAATTGGCTTCTTTTGTTTGTATAACTTGAATAAATAGTTACTCTTGAGCCGGAAAAAATCGAAACCGAACCGAAAAAAACCAAAACTGAACCGAAACAAATAGAAACCGAACTGATGAAAACCCAATATATATGGTTTTTAATTTTACAAAAACCGATATATTCAGTTTATGTTCGGTTATAGCCAAAAACTGAACCAAAACCGAGCCGTGCACACCCAATGTAAAGTACCAGTTAATTTGAAAAGATGGTCTTCTCATTTCCTTAATCATGGGTTTTGTTGTGCTGATCTCATGACCCAATACTTAATAAATCGTGTAATTCCAATAAAGTTGTATTAATTCAGAGAATCGGTAGCGGAAAATAGTGTCCGATTGATCACATGCTTAAAAGTTGAGTGGGATTCCCTTTATTCTGTCTCAACTACTTTTGTCCAAATCAGCTTCTTCTTTGTTGTCGTTCATGTATATATAACACGTGCTTTTTGGTTATGACACCACTAATTACTCCCCTCTAAAGACTAAAATTATATATTCTTTTCAACACTTCCAACTAGATACTTTTCTTACCCTCTAAGGAACTGAAAAACCGGGTTAATTTTTTTACGGAGTGTTTTTTCTCATTCTATATATTTAGGATAAATTACAACTACCCATGAGCTAAGGTCAAATTATGAAAACTGTCATCATGTTTGGGTAATCATAATTACCCCTAAATTATAATTCTTCTTACACGTCCACCCTTATGTGGTATCAAATTCAACATAAACTTTTAGATTCCGTGAAATGTTCTCTAATTTGTATTCATTTTGTGCAAAATGTAGTTTCTGAAGCACCACAATCTGATATATATACAAGCAAAAAAAAAAAAACACATCTTATGATCAAAGTTTTAAGTTGGATGACGAATACATCATTTTTAAGTTCTCAGGTTAATATGTTTTTTTTTTTTCTGCCGCGTAATAAAACTAAAAACTCAAGCGAAATAAGACAATTCAATTTTGTGAAGCTATTGGATGCAAAACTGAACGGGGAGTTGGATGCTACACATGGTTATTTAAATTGGATGGATTTCAACTATAAATCTGATTAAATAACCACTCACTAAACACACATACACATGTGTATGTGTGTGGTTGATTATGTGTAGATATAAAATTAAAATGCATCCAGTGTAAATAACTAGGTGTAGCACCTGATTACCCAAACTGAAGTAGGGCAACTTAATTAAAGGACTAAATTCCTTAAAAGAACATAAATAACAAAAGGGTAAATTACACTTTCTGCCCTTGTACTTTGGTTCGATATCACTTTACCCCCTTCTACTCTCGATTACATGGATTTGCTCCCAAGTACTTGAAAAATTGTTTCAATGTGGTCCTCGTCGTTTGTTTTCAGACCTTTGCCCTTAACAGCGTTTGAAAATTACAAAAAAACCACCCCTCCCAGTTTAAATAACTATTAAAAAATTTAAAAAAATAAAAAAATAAATTGTTGTTGGCGTCGTGGATCATGTTTCCTCCCTATCTTGAATTTTTTATTATTTTATTTTTTGTTTGTTTCAATGTTTTTGTTTTTTGATTAATTATTTAAACTGGGAGATGAGGCGTTTTTGTAATTTCAGAGTTTAGATCAAAACGGTGTTAAGGTCAAACGTCTAACAACTAACAACGATGACCACATTGAGACAATTTTTCTAGTGCATGGGCACAAATCGATGCAATCGAGAGTAGAAGGGGGTAAAGTAATACGGAGCCAAAGTACAAGGGGGAAAAGTGGAAATTGTCATGACAAAAATTACGAATTTTCCTAAATTCAAATGTCATTACAATACCCCCAAGCAAAAATAAATTTGTGTGTAATAGCAAATTCCTTTAATGTTAAGAAAGATTTTATGTTACGTTGAAAGTTCTATAAATTAATTAATTGGGGGAAAAGCAAAGGGTTTGCTTTTTCACTTTTCTTTTAAAAAAGCAGATCAATTAGGTAAGGGACCACAATATTTATATATAAAGCACGCTACGGTCGGTCGATCGTGTTAGCCATCCGCTAATCTCCATAACTATATATATAAATATGGTCTCTTTATGGTTAATTGATGTTTTCAGCAGTATACATCATCTCTTTACAAAAGCTTATTAAGAGTGAATCAAAACATTGAGTACCAATTATTCAAGTTATATCGGGTACATACTACATACATATTGATTATATTGATTGATTGTAATAAAAATGAAGGGGAAAGGTGCAAGATTTGTGAAGCAGATAATATCTATGGTAAGGTGCGTAAGTAGAGCGAAATGCATGGCGATAAGGAACAAAACGGACGCCATGAAAGCGCAGTTTATGGTGACAGCATTAACAGTTTTGTCAAAGAAGAACAACTTGATCTCTATTGGAGCGATCTCCGACAAGATTAATGATGCAATAGATGGTCTTCTCATGAAATCCAATCGCGACAACAACGGTAATAAAGAAGATGTTGAGGCGGAGCAAGTGAGCAGCAGCAAAGCCATTGTTCTATACACTAACAATAACAAAGCGGTGGTCGGGGGCGAAATGGGAAATATTCATATTCACGATGATGAATTTGTTATTGATGAGGATAAGTATCCGGACCTAAGGCATTCGTTATTCGACGAGGAGGAGGAAGAGGAGCTTGCTCAGCTATTGGATGATCCGAGTTCGTCCATATCGGCTATAGATATTGTGAAGAATTCAAAGGAGAACAGAGATCACGGTTTCAATCTTGAAGAAGAAATCGATGAGGTGGCGGATTTATTCATTAGCAAATTCCACAAGAACATGCGCCTTCAGAAGCTCCTTTCGTTCAAGAGGCAACACCAAGACCAGATGATGATGGCCGATAAATAATGTGCTTGACGGTCATCCTCTCTCTCTCTCTCTCTCTATATATATATTACTCCGATCCATTATTACTCGATCGTATTATTGCAGTTTAATTTCCTTTTATTTCTTCTTGTATTTTGCCGGAGCTAAGGCGCATGTGTAAGTTCCCACAATAATGGCATCTAGTACGAAGATGTAGTACTTTTGTCATATAAGTCATTGTTTTACAACATTTTTGACAATTCGGAAAATAAGTCTTTGAATACAGTTTGTTAGTTAATACATTTTTAATAGTTAATAAATTAATAATTCATTAGTAAATAGACTTATGTAAAAAATAAATCATTTCATTGGGTTAGTATAAAACAATAATTTATTACAGTACTGTAACTGTATGTTGGGCAAAATACTTAACACGCAAGTGCACGTATCACAAACAAGTAGTAAAAGTGGACTCGTGAGAGTCGGATATCGATCCCACAGGGAATACTTAAATTATCTAATCCTAAGTACCAAATTCTAACAATTATGATTTTTATCCAGCCTACGCAAGGTTGTCAAATTTAATCAATTAAACAATTAAACTAATTAAGAAAGCAAATAATCACGAGAAAATATCAATATAAAAACGGATCTAGGATTTTATCTTCCCCTATGCGGTAATTCGTCACCCAATTAACCTCTATCATGCAAGTTACGATACCCGATTATTAACCCGAGACTCTCAATTACTCATAACCCGCTGTCGCGTGTATTATGAGTCTATTATTTATAACCGATTCACTATATGTCTATGCAAATCAATTATGAATAAAGCATTAAATAACAAGTCTCGCAAACGGCTACCTAAGGTATTATCTGTATGTCTACGATAACATATGCAATTAACACACTCATCCGGTGAAAACTACTCGAAGGCTCTCCTATCCTTGTTCTAATTATTAAAACGATCTGTCAATCAATTCTAACAATAACATATATCAACATAAATTAGCTACGTTCATGTGCTAAATAAAATCAAATAGAAGAAATAATCAAGGAATTTAAACTTGCATAATATTAGAAAAATTGGTTCGAATCACCACATAGGGTTCCAACAAAATCCTAGATTAAAAAACTTAGCTACTCATGTTCTCTACGAAAAGCATAATAAAAATACGATAAATCATAAAAGTTTTCAAATAAAAGTAAAGGGAGAACTATGATGAAGATTCGTCAAGTCTTTGTCTTCGTTGCTCCGTTCTCTTGCTCCTAGATTGCGTGTAAAAAGATAAGATTCCCAATTGTGTGCTTGGCTTGGCCTTATATAGGGTGTAGAAGGATAGGAAGGCGGTTTCCTTGTGTAATTAAACTTCCTTCACTGCGCCTCCTCGTGATCTCGGACGGCCGTGTCAAAATTAACTCTAAAACTCGGACGGCCGTCCGGATTTCAATTCTTCGAAGTTTTGATTTTTTAACTTTTGGCCCACTTTTTCTCCAAAATTTCAGTTTTTACCCCATAAGTTTCCAATTCTTCAATTTGTACCTAAAATACAAATAATCAACATTTTAAGCACCAATTATCGTTAAAACACACCAAAAGCTCCAATTAAAAGGTACGATTAAGTGTAAAAATATACACTTAACACACCCCTAAACTTGAACTTTTGCTTGTCCTCGAGTAAAATCAATTTAAAAGCACAAAACTCGACTACACATCTCATCACATAGATCAATTGATCAATTTCACATTTTCAGAACTTGTAATTATGATAACAATTCTTAGGCATTCGCAAGCTCAACATTCAACAGGACTTAGTCACTCACCATCACCAAAACCACAAATCATACAATTGCTTCAAGCATCCAATATTTGCAAATTAAAGATAGAAATAATTTATACTTACATGCATATACTTGACTCTAAATACTCACCAAATTATTCTACTCAATTAATATTGAGCATTAAGCTATTGAGATACCTAATTGGGCCGACCCAATGGGCCTACAATTTCTTTACCTACTGGGCTACGAGCCCAATATCGAAGACTAATATCACCGAGGCCCCAAACACCTTCAAGTAAGGCTTGGGCCCAACAAAGCAAACTCAACCCAATAAACGACATATAAATAGAGGTTTTACTCATTTTATTAAGGTACGTCCTATTAACTGAGCAATACTACAATACGTATTCTCTGGACTATTTCTACTATCAGCACGTCTGACTTGAGCGTCGGAGGGGTTTTCGCCGGATCAACCCCCGGCTTAGTTCATGTGTTCTATGATCGCAGGTACCTCAGGATCATCAAGTTGTCAAGCTACTGATCTGCTTTGCTCTCCCAGTTCATTTTCTACACTACCCTAGGTGAGCTATATTTTAGCATCATCATTTTGGCGCCGTCTGTGGGAACGATGCAAACCAGATCACGTAGCCAACAAGATCCTCCTGAGGCGTCTGCTCGGAGAGAAAATGACACAGCTAACGACCTCCCACCTCGTGGAGGCTCTGGCTTGCCACCTCCTCCACATCCCATGGATCCGCCTCGCGAGGTTCAGGTGATCCCCATCGAGACCCACCACTCGCCGATCCACCACTCCCTGCTCCTCGAATGGTTCAAATAACCGAGGATGCACTTCAACGCATGATAACAGAAGCTTCAACTTGGGCAGCCACTGAATCAGTGGCACCATATATCGCCACGATGGAAGCAGATGCTCCCAACGCGATACCAGCATCTGCTCCACATGTGGAGCCACCTATGGCACCACCGTCATCGACTCCCTGGGGGCTTACATCTGCCCCCAAAATATTACGCTCGCCAAGGGTTATCGACTCCATGGGGGCTTACATCTGCCCCCAAAATATTTCGCTCGCCAAGGGTTATCGACTCCCTGGGGGCTTACATCTGCCCCCAAAATATTTCGCTCGCCAAGGGTTAACGACTCCATGGGGGCTTACATCGCCCCCAAAGTATCTCGTTCGCCAAGGGTTATCGACTCCCTGGGGGCTTACATCGCCCCCAAAATATCTCGTTCGCCAAGGATTATCGACTCCCTGGGGGCTTACATCTGCCCCCAAAATATTTCGTTCGCCAAGGGTTATCGACTCCCTGGGGGTTCACATCGCCCCCAAAACATTTCATTCGTCATAGCAGGAGCCAACGCTCCTCCTCGTGAGGCCCCACTGGGTCCTACTTCTAACGGTTCAGATAACCGAAGAAGACCTTCAGCGTATGATCACGGAAGATTCAACTCGTGCTGCCACTGAATCAGTGGCACCATATATCGCCAAGGTTGGGCATCTCACCCCAGATGTTCGTGATCGCCTCATCCTAAATGGGGAGCTATCCCATCCTAAAGGTGCACATCCCACCTCAAGGAACGAGGATAATCTCCCTACTCAAAAAAATAGAACATCCCCAAGGGGGTGCACATCCCATCTCAAGAGACGAGTATAATCTCCCTACTCAAAAAATAGAACATCCCCAAGGGGGCACACATCTCATCTCAAGGAACGAGGATAATCTCCCTACTCAAAAAATAGAACATCCCCAAGGGGGCACACATCTCATCTCAAGGAACGAGGATAATCTCCCTACTCAAAAAATAGAACATCCCCAAGGGGGTGAATATCAACCAAATAAAAAAGAAAAAGAAAAAGATGAAGATGAAAAAATAGAAGAAAAAAAGAAGACGATGAAAAAAGAGAAGAACAAAGAAGAAGAAAAAAGAAAAAGAAAAAATAGAAGAAAAAAGAAGATGATGAAAAAAGAGAAGAAGAAAGAAGAAGAAAAAAGAAGATGAAAAAATACAAGAGCAAGAAGAAGAAAAAAAAGAGTAATAGAAGAAGAATTAGAAAAAGAAAGAAAAAAGAAAAAAGGGGGAGCCGCAGCCGAGCCAAGCCGCGCGCGCGCGGCTCTTAAAAAAAAAAAAAAAAAAAAAAAAAAAAGGGGATGGCGCGCGTGCACAGCACGCGCGCGTGGAGAACACGCGCCTAACGTGCGCGCGTGCGTCAGCAAAAAAACAAAAAAAAAAAAAAAAAAAAAAAGAGAGGAAGAGGTGCGCGTGGCGACCACGCGCCTGACGCGCGCGCGTGCACAGCACGCGCGCGTAAAAAAAAAAAAAAAAAAAAAAAAAGTACCTCACGCGCGCGCGCGCCTTCCCATGCACGCGCGCGCGCCTCCCAAGGCCTCCTTGGAGAGCGCGCTCCCATGTAATTGGACTCAACTTTCACCGCCCTCCACCAAATTGCGCGTAGATTTTGACTCACTTCTCCAAATCGCACGAGAATTTCAACGCGCTCCACCAAATTCCGCGAGCTCTTTAACGCACCTACCAAATAACGTTCGTTATCAAATGGAAAAAAAAAATGTATTTCTCCACGCCATGCCAACGATTAACGCAAGACTACAGCACCGATCTACTCTCAATACGATCCGGTACCCCTTTCGACTTGGCTCCCACATCGTCTCGAGAGTGGGGGGCTTGCAAGACAACTTCCACGAGGAGCCAACTCGCTCATTACTACCACCCGCAGCGAGACAACTCCCACGAGGAGCCAACTCCCTCGGGTCTACGAAACCATAGCGAGTAAACTCCCACGAGGAGAAGTCCCGGAGGATGTCTGCAGCTTCTTAGCCATACTCCTTGTAACTACGCCCATGCTTGATGAATTTGAAGAAGCAGCCTTCATCGTGAACGTAGAACAGCTACTAGGATCTTCGAGAGAGAGAAGATATGAGAGGTAGAGAGGTCCCCACCGGGTGTGCCAAAATTTGTAACAACAAATTCTTATCTGCGATATAAACAAACAAGAAAAATTGAACAAGGATGATTTTTATTGAATTAAAATAAATAAATTGCGGTTAAAATCTCTATTTTAATCATCTGATTCTTCTCTCTAGAACAATATATAGTTGACTTGATTTTTCGGAGTCGGGTCGTTGACTTGATCTTCTCCGGATTTGATTTTGGATTTGAATGACGTTTTCCAAGGGTCTCGCGACTTGAATTTCGGATCGAACGTTGAACTTTGACTAAATTTGACTTGAAGATCTTGAAATTCTTGATGGATTTGGCCCTTCAATCTTCTAATGATCTTGACTTGAATTGATTAACGTTAATCCGAAGGTTTGGCACCGTTATCTCGGATCGAATGCTAGATTTGATGAAGAATGCCTTGAATTTGCTCAAGAACACCTCGAATATGACGAAGAACACTTTGAATGTAGAGAGAGAATCTTACCTCCTACGAATTCTTCTTCTTTGCTTCTTGAATTGTAG